CTGGTAATTGAAATTTTAGAATCAAACACGCCACAACAAAAACAAGAACGTGCAACAAAATGTTGCACAACTGTACCGGAAAGAAGCTAGTACATTTGCGCCTGCATTTGACGCTCATCAGCCGCAGGCTCGGGGAAAAATGGAAAATAATTGCCGCAAATTTGATGTAAAATAAGTCAGAAATGAAAGCAAAAGGCCGCACACATTTCTAATACAATTTCCGCATAATTAAGTGCACTCAAAGGACACTCAGCACTCGGGACAATGCAACGCGCTGAGGATTTATGTGTGGCACTCAAGTGCCGCACCAAAATTAATTCAAATGCGCTGGGAAAAATGTACAGACAATAACTGGGCCAAAGTTGAGCTAATCCTCTGGCATTTTCTTCTTTTTTCCTGCTTCCTCTAATATTATGCGCCTTGTCGCACCTCGGACTGGCTTTGATTCGGCGCTAATCGCTGAAGTGTCAACGTCACAGGAGACTGGCAAACAGCCGGAACTGGTCGATTGGCCGGCCAAGCAGGCTGTTTGCTTCATTTCCGCGTTTAATCACCCCCCACGGCAGGCAGATGCCTTTGTTCAGCTCATTTTGACACCAGTTCGGGCAGGGCCCATCGCCAGAAATCAGACCAGGAACACTCCTGCAAAACTAATTTCCCGTTAATGAGGGTGCCTGTCCTGTCGGTCTGGTCCGTTTGGTCCTTGATTCTCTCTTTTTACTCTGATTAAGACTTTTCCCACTCACACATGCGTCCTCATTAATAATTGTTGGCATTTTTTTCGTCACCGCTGCCACGGATCGAGATTAATTTGTGCCTGGCCAGAAACTGACGTGTGCGCCTGTCAGAAGTAAAAACCTTCGGCCACATTTTCTTTTATCTTCATAATCGAGGCAACTGGCAACTGGGAACTGGCAATTGGGAACTGTGCCACGGAGCGTTAAATTGTTATTAATTGAATTGAGAGTCAAAAGTGTGTGTTATAAGTTTTAATTGGATTGCCAGCTTATCTATATGGAGATTAATATAGAATTTCTATTGACAAAAAAATTCAGAATCAAATACTAATACAAAATATTGTTTGGCAGTAAAGTGGATGACAAATTGCAATATGTTAGCTACAAAGTTTTAACTATTTCGCCTATTTCACAGCCATTCGCTTGGTAGAGTTCAGAGGGTACTAAAAATTCCAGTATAACAAAACACATTGAATAAGGATATTATGCCTTTATACAGACGCATAGGCAGACGGACAAACCGACTTAGCTTTTACATAAATGTTCGCAAATACATTACACCCTTTACAGGGTATTAAAACATATTCGCATTTAAAGCTTGAAGTCTCGCATAGCCTCCAAAGATATTAAGGGACATGTGGTAAATATTTGTCAGCCAGGCACTCACGAGTGTATTCATCCTCAGCTATTCATAAGCGCAAATATTCATATGTGCGTTATCACCCTCACGCGATCTGAGCTGATCTGGAAAAAAGGCTTGTCATTGCGAGGCATTCGCGTGGAAATCGACAGTATTTCAATAATTTTTTTTATTAGACAACAGCTATGAGCAAAATACGCAGTTCAATGCCTAAACACAATGCTTGGCTGGATAGTTGTTGTAGTTGTTGTTGCTTTGTATCTCACAGATACATTTGCTGCAGGCAAAACAATTTCATTTGTGCTTGAAATGCACCCAAAAGAGCTCGCAAAATAGTGCGCGGTGTTTATTAAATTGTTGCGCCGTGGCCTGAAAAAGGGTGAGAGGTCAGAAAACAGGGACAACTGGGGCGACAGGGCGACAGGGGCGTACACTGTCAGGACCCCAGACTGGTGCTGAGCGGCGCCGGGGCCAAAGGGTCCACCTTTTATTAATTTGGACAATGTAATGCGCCATCGTCAAGCTGGCCATAAATCTGGGCAAAACGAGCAGGCGACATGTGAGTCCTTCAGCCGAGTTTCGTGCAGAACAAAAGCCATTGAATTGCGTATGAAATGTAATGCCCAAGCTCAGGGTAGAAAATCTCATCGCATTTCTCATGGCACGCTGCACATTCATTCAGCCAGTCCCAAAAAATAAAAATGAATAAAAAGAAAAGACAAAAATATTTCATAAATTGAATTGTATTTTCGTATTGTACCATATAGCCAAAAAAAAAACAACAAAATAAATGCCAAAAAATGAATAACAATCTATATGAAATAGTGCATAGAATGAATTTTTCTATGGGATATATAACGCATTTAGAATGTAGTCTCTAGACGAACGAGCTTAACTAACATATACCCTGTATCGTAGGGATAAGCTTTTAAAAATTTCTTCAGAGGAAACCTCGAAGAGAGATTTATAACGCATTTAGAATAAAGTTTATGGTTTTAGATAAACATGCTTTAGTGGGTTAGGAAATCATAAAACTAATCTTTTAAAATATATCTTTTTAGATATCTTTAGCTAGAATTGATATTTATCGATATGTGCAAATCAGAGCAGATCGAAGTAACATTCAGATTGGGAAGTTGTATATACCCTTGAAGCTCTAGTTTATTTGCATGCTTTATCAATATCAAAGCCAATACACCCCTTTAGCAAAGAAATTAATAAAAGCTGTGATAGATGATGATTGGGCGCAAAGACCAGAGCAGATTGCGGCTGTATTGTTAAAGGCTTAAAGCTAGGCTCCAAAAAACTATGCACCAAAAATTATAAAATTATTCTCTACTCAACGGCTTATCGTTTCTTAAATATGATAAATTATAAGGCAAAGTTGGGTCTAAGCAAATTAAATTGTTACGCTCAATTGCGGCGAGTGCTGTGTGGCATTAAAATTTGGCAAAGATTTTCGCAGACGGCGTTCGTAAACTTGTGGCACGACCTTAGCGTGTGCGGCTGACAATTGCCACGCCCTTTGCCCAACGCCCATCGCCAACAGCCCGGCGGCAAAAACATTTTAAAATCGCTGGCGAAGAGCGAATTGAATTTAAATTTGCTGATTATGCGGCCCAACGCCACTTGGCCGTGTGCTCAAGTAGTGCGAATAATGGTTATATTAAGCCATAAAAGAAATTAAGTCAAACATTATTTTTAGCTCAGCTACACTGTGCTGCATGTTTTGGGCATGTGGGCAAGCACAACAAGCACCACCTTTTGAACTCGAGTTCGGGCAAATATTATTGATACATCGTCAGCTTCTCAATGGATTGTAAACGATTGCTGAAGAGCCAGCCTTGGAGGCAGCCCTGCGGGATGCCTCATATATATACATATATATATATGGACTATATATGCGTCCTGTCTATCTGCGACGCATATTACAATATTTCGACATATTTTCAAGTGTTGTTGCTGTTGTTGTTTGATGCGGCCCCATGCGCGGCTTACAGATGATTTTCTGGGATTTACGACGCCAGCTTTCAGGCAAATAATAAAAAAGAGAATTTTACAATCCGCGCTGCGGGCGGGCGTCAGGAAGTTGTTAAATTACTTATAGATGGCGATGTGTCTGGCGTTTTTTTTGTAATTTAAAAATGATTATTACATAAGCCGCCCGAGTGGGCAGGGGGAAATCAATGCATAAATTAGAATTTCGCCGGCTCTTTATTGTTATTCAAATGATTTGACAGTGGCGCTCTAATCAGGGCATTTGAGGCGCTCAAATGATAATGATTGACTGGCACTTGCAACGCCGGAGCTGTCAATAATTCAGAGCATGTGCCGCGAGTTTTATAACCGCCAACGGCAGCGACATTGTAAAAGGACGAGCCAGCCCAGCCTGTCGATTTCCCAGGCGAGTTGCCCTAATCCTCCGGCATTGCCATTGTAATTAGGCCGCATTCGTTGCCCGCGCGTATTCGTATTCAAATTCAATTCATTTGCTCACTTTTGCAGCTCAAGTGCAGGCAGGTAATCATTCAAGCATATCCCAATGCCAACCCACCCCTACCCCCTCGCAATCTACGCACTTTAATGGCAACTATGTATGCACTTTTACAGGGCACGCTGATAATTTAATGTAAACTTTGCGGTCACGTGTCGACATGCTCCCAAATGTAAGTAAATCAAAGCAAATTACACACACATACACACACATGCGCACACATGTGTGTGCTTGCCAAAGGCTAACCTCCATCCGGGTTCCCTCGTCAACCCAAACCCAGAGGTTCACAAGTGTTTTGACATTTTAACGCGTTTTATGCTCAAAATGACCAGCAACAGCGGCTGCGGGAATCCGGGCACATGCAAGGGACCAGGGTCTATTGCCAAGGGAGCTCTTACACTTGTGCAATTGGTGGAAGTTTTGATCTAACTGTGAGAACTATTCGGTTCTCGAATATCAACCCTGTGAAGTAAACAGAAACGTGAACAACTGTACCTAGTTACATATATGCAAATGTGTTGATCTTGACAATGTTTATATAAGTTGGTAATCATACAGATAGTATGGAATGTAGAGCACATGCATAAGTATGTTTATTGATTTTGTACCCTGAACCCATTGAAAATGGTTCAAATGAGTATAAGGTTTTTGTGCAAATGTATAAGGGCTACAATAGCCGAGTGACGTCCTAGTGCCCCCGCAGTACAAGTCCGATAATCGATAGCTTTCTCCGTTTTCGAACAATCGATAAGAATCGATATCTAAATGCTGTTTACCGATCAATATATTTATATATTACATGCTGAAAAAGGTTTGTAATCTGAATTCCACTATGTTCAACCATCAGCTGCAATATTTGGATGAAAAACAGCCGAACCTAGCCCTGAACAACTTTTTTTTTATACTCTTCGAGGGCAATGTCACGTATTTTAGGTTTTAGACGACGATATATATTATATATATATTTATAGATATTTAATAAATTACCTTTTCAATATTAAGCAGAAAAAACGTAATTTCAATAGTTTCCATGGATTTTTATTGGCTTAAATTTGAATAACACAATTTCTAAGAGACTACAAATAAATAAATAAATATGTTTAAGCAGCTGTAGAAAGTGCATCCCTCTTCAGCCTCTTGCTGTAGCGGCAACATTTGCGGCCCTTTCAGCTATGTCGACAACCTGAATTGTGGCATCCCGAACATTTTGGCCAATGCGCTCCTGAAAAAGGTAAATTTATAGATATATGTGACTATTTTGATTTCTCTCAAGGTTAAAAACACAATCGGTGTGCTGTTTGGCTTACAATTCTCTTGCCTAGCCTTTTCCAAAAGTCGGCCTTAGCTTGTCCCATGCAAATAGCCAAAAGCAGCACAACGAAGATAAAGATCTTGTAGAAATTCATGTTCGACTTGGTAACAAAACTGGCTATGTTGCTGGAGCAATCGAAACCAAAAGACTGATGACCCACTGGACCGGCAGTTGATGCTTTTATATCCATCATCAACAAACGGGATTCTGTTTAAAGGGGAACTTTTGTGTGGCAGAAATTTCATGAAACAAATTTTGATATAAATCATTAGGTGTGATTCATGGGGAAGCCAATGTTTTATTTAAAACGTGTCAAGCAATGTGAAACAAGATGTTTGTGATAAGTTATTAATGTTCGTAGAACATACAAAAGTATAAATGTAACATTTTTCTGCACCTATGAATCACTAGCGAAATAAAATATATGTAGATAGTTAATTCGAATAGTCTTATATATTTAAAAATTATAAAATAAGTACTCCCAACAAGTTCTTTGAACTTTCACAAGATTCATAAGATAAAGAAACTGTATTTAAAAGTTTCTTTTCAGTTTCTAAACAACCAAACGGGCTCATCGGGTAGTAACAAAAAGTTATTGTTAATAATTATTATCCAATTAACCAAGAACTCATTAAAAAAACGAACAAATATATTTATTAGCAACATATTTTGATGTATATCATTATTATTATTATTATTAGCAACATATTTTGATTAATAAGTATATAAAAAACCTTTCAAAAATTACTCAAAAAATTGTTTATAAGTAAAGATTTGGTTCATCAGCTTGGTTTTTGACATCCATTAAACTGGGATTATAATAAAAATTGCATATTCATATTCTTCCCGATTTATAAAATTTAAAAAAAGCATCAGTAGCTTTTATTATAAATTTAGGAGTAAAACATCTCCTAGTAATGTAATTTCGTAAACAATTGCAATTATTAGTAAATGTTTCTAAAAAGTTTTTCAAAAAAAAAATTATTGTTTTCATACTTAGCTTGAAGCACTTAGCTTGAAATGCCCAAAATGGAATGGGAATGGCCTACTTCATAATAAGAAAAAGCTTCCTCCCAAGTTTGCAAAGATATAACTATATATTTCGACCAACCATATTTCGAACTATATTCTCATTTCATTAAAGTAAAATGATAAAACGTATGCTGTTCTTTTTTCCAAAAATAATTTTATTTTAAAACACTACGACTCAATAAATATACATACATTTTTAAATAAATAAACAGATATTGCAAATAATCTTAACCCCTGGCCGTGGCGGCAACATTCGCAGCCTGTTGGGCAATACCCAATCCCTGGATGGTGGCATCCCGAGTATGCTGGCCAACGCGTTCCTGTAAGAAAACATAGTTAATAAGTATTTGTTTATACTAAACAATATGATAAATAGACTTACAATTTTCTTGCCAATCTTCTTCAACCAACCAGCCTCGGATTGACCCAAGCTAATGGCCAGGATGAGCGCAACGAAGATGAAGACCTTGTAGAAGTTCATTTTGAGTTCTGGTATTGAATATTCCTTGGAAACTAGGAGCTGGGCTTTGAGCTGTTGCTGTGGCTGCAGATGCTGAGCGACTGATGACTGATACGACCAGTCAGTGCCTCTTTTATAGCTCATATAGCTTCCCTATGCTGATAAGCCTCGCAGTGCAAAAACTCAACAATTTATGGATGCACGAGGGGATTTTGTTCGGCGAAAAAGTACACGGATCAAAAGGTGAGGGCAGTGAAGTATTCCGTAAAAAATATAATCTATCAATCATTTATGCATTAATGACGGATATAAAGTATGTTTCTGTATATACACAGACTACATAATTTCGTGCATCTAGCTCTTACTTTATGAAGTCAAAAGAGATTCCTTCTGTTTCTCACATACATTAGCACAATCATATTATACCCTTTCCTATCCAATTTCAATGGGTGCAGGGCAATCCCTATCCAGATTTCAAACATCGCCCCATAAAACATTGTCATATAAGATGCAAAGTCAAAATGTTGGGTATTTCCGCAATCTTTTAATAAGCCCCACAGATAATGTTGTCATATGAAATGGATTTGTCGGGAAACCACCAAAAATGCTTGTCATGAAACAGCTAAAAAATTGGGTGAAATACAAAATTTTTTACTACAAATCAATTTATGAATGAAATTTTACGTGGGTTTTTCTGCATTCCGATTTCCGACTACAACTGTATTCAAAATGTGTGAATATGCCACTGACCCGATCGGGTTGATAATATGACAATGACGGATCGGTTTAGCAAGCAAACACGTAATAAAGAACCAGGTGTTGTTGCTATTGTTGTTGTTAATGTTGATGTTTCTGTTGTCATCGCACGTTATCAGCGTTCCTTTCCAGTTATCAGCATGTTGCGTCGATTTCTCTACTCTGCTCTGGAGGTACATGCTGTGAATCCCAGTCGATTGATTTGAGGGCAGATTCTTTTTGGCTATTCTGGAGTCAAGAGGAATTTTGCTAAACGATGCCTGCGATTATTATCAATGGTTCATAACTTTTAATAATTATCATAAAACCTATAAAAAAGGAAGAGAAAGTTATGCTAAATATGTGTAATTGCATGTATAAGACATAAATTTATAAATAAATAAATATAATGCCAATAAGGAATATAAACATATAATTAATCTCGAAATTCTTAACTGGGGCTTAAATGCAGTGCAAGAATCGTACTAATGCTTGGCGTTCTCTAACGTAGCTAGTTGTGGGATGAATTTGTATTTCAAAATTCTGCATTAACCTCTGTAAAACCAACATCAAGCAATCTTTCAATTGAAATTAATTCTACAGTGCCTGCTTAAATTAAAATGATAACTCATAAAACGGGCTAACATTAAGTAATCCAGGATAGAAAAAACACATAACTTTGAGACTGGCTATAAAAAGGCTATATTTTTTTAAGCGATATTTGCATTAACGCTACTGACTTTAGAATAAATAAATTTAGTAGTTCACAAAAATAGATTTTATTTTAAATAATTTGGTGTGCTATTTTTGAGGAATTAATTTCGTAGCTACAAAAATCCCAAAAATTGTGAATGCCATGAAACCCCCAATATAATAAAAATGTATATGGTTTTTGTTAAATATATTTGAAATTATATTTTTTACTTTAAAACACTACAACAAAATAAATAATTTTTTAGTAAATAAACATGATTTGTCCATAATCTTAGCCCCTGGCCGTGGCGGCCACATTCGCAGCCTGTTGGGCAATACCCAATCCCTGGATGGTGGCATCCCGAGTGTGCTGGCCAACGCGTTCCTGTAAGGGTAAATCTGTTATAAGTATTTGTTTATACTAAACAATATGATAAATAGACTTACAATTTTCTTGCCAATCTTCTTCAACCAACCAGCCTCGGATTGACCCAAGCTGATGGCCAGGATGAGCGCAACGAAGATGAAGACCTTGTAGAAGTTCATTTTGAGTTCTGGTATTGAATATTCCTTGGAACTGTTGCTGTGGGTGCAGATGCTGAGCGACTGATGACTGATACGACCAGTCAGTGCCTCTTTTATAGTTCATATAGCTCCCCGATGCTGATAAGCCTCGCAGTGCAAAAACTCAACAATTGATGGATGCACGAGGGGATTTTGTTCGGCGAAAAAGTACACGGATTAAATGCAAGTAAGGTGAGAGTGGTAAAGTACGCCATGCACAATATAAATTATGAATCATTTACAAAACTTTGTGGCTATGTTTTTATAATTGTGTAATCCTATAAATACTGTCGATTCTGAGTGGAACCCAAGAGATATTTTTGCAAGAAAAAGAACAAGTAATGTGCTCAGGTTGGGAGTGCCTGACTAAGATATACCGTGCAGTCAGCACCTAGCTGCCGTTTCCAACATTCAAAAATTAAAATAAAATCCACCTACATGGCTAATTTTTTTGAGATATGGTAAGCAACCTCATAGAAGATTGAAGAGTATACATACATATATATTTAATGTAGTCTAAAAAGCTTTCTTTTGCCTGTTACATTCGCCTAGACCCATTATTTATATAGCCTTTCATATCCAATGCGAATGGGTGTAGACCATAACAATCCACTATAAGCCTTACCCAGAGAATATACATCGCGCGACAAAGCTTTGCCATATAAGATGCAATGCCAAAATGTTGGGTATTTCCGCACTCTCTCAATTGGGCCCACAGATAGGATTGTCATATGAAGTGGATTTGTCGGGTAACCACTAAACATGTTTGTCATAAATAAAAAATTCGGTGAAATACAAATGTTTCTTACTACAAATCAATTTATGAATGAAATTTCACGTGGGTTTTTCTGCTTTCCGATTTCCGACTACAACTGTATTCAAAATGTGTGCCACTGACCGATCGGGCTGATAATCTGAACATTTCAATGTCGGATCAGTTTAGTGAGCAAACACGTAAAAACAAACAGGTGTTGTTGCTTTTGTTGTTGTTAATGTTGTTGTTGTTGTTGTTGTTTCTGTTGTCATCGCACGTTATCAGCGTTTCTTCCCAGTTATCAGCATATTGCGTCGATTGGTCTACTCTGCTCTGGAGGTGCAAGCTGTGAATCCCAGTGGATTGATTTGCGGGCAGACTCTTCAGTTGCCGCAGCGTTTAAAACTGGGGTCAAGAGGGATTTTGCCAATTTAGCTGATGCCTGCGTTTATTATTAATAATGTGTTCATAAAAAAGTTAAGTAATTATCATAAACGTTTTCTTCTATCATACACAAATAATATCAAACATGCGTAATTATATATATTTTTATTAGATAACTGATAAAACGAGCTAACAGAATAGAAAAGAAAAGCATATAAAGTATTTAACATTTAGCTTAAGAAAATTCAGACTTCAAATAATTCTGATACCACTCGGCTACGATTTAAGCATAAAATATGTGAATTTTTTCAGACCTTAACTATTATTTAGGAAAGGAAAATATTATGAACACTTTTATTAGCTTTGATCCATTAGCATAGTTCTAATGCCGGTTCTTAGAAGTAAGCAATGGCATTAGTGAGAAAGAATATGCCATTTAATACCTTGTTTGCCAGAGTCTAAAATTCAATTATTATTTATAATTATTTATTATTTACGGTATCAAAAAATAACCCTGACTTACTACTTGGCAATAAGAATTAAACATATTTTAGTAATAAAACATTTAATTAAGAACGTGCGAAAAATAAATAAGTAATTAATCAATAAGTAAGCTACAGTAAAACTATAAGGCTGGCAAAAAATTATTTTTTAATTTGAATATTTGTTTTAATTTAAAACAAATACATATTATAAGTATGTATTAAAAAATATACTATAATATGTCATAATGTTGCATTTTCCTAAGTATATACACATATCAAAAGCTATTTTTAGGCATTCTTTTCGAGCTGCATCAGAAATAAAATAATAATTATATATATAATTATGGTGCCATGAAACCCGGAAAAATGAAACCAAGAAATTTAAATGTTAAAATTATATTTTATACTTTAAACACTACAACAAAAATAAATACATTTTTAATAAATAAACAGAAATGGTGCATAATCTCAGCCCCTGGCCGTGGCGGCCACATTCGCAGCCTGTTGGGCAATACCCAATCCCTGGATGGTGGCATCCCGAGTGTGCTGGCCAATGCGTTCCTGTAAAGGTAAATCTATTATAAGTAATTGCTTATACTAAAGATGTAATTGAAAGACTTACAATTTTCTTGCCAATCTTCTTCAACCAACCAGCCTCGGATTGACCCAAGCTGATGGCCAGGATGAGCGCAACGAAGATGAAGACCTTGTAGAAGTTCATTTTGAGTTGTGGTATTGAATATTCCTTGGAAACTAGGAGAATTTCAAATATTGCCTTGATTGCTGATGCTGAGCGACTGATGACTGATACGACCATTAAGTGCCTCTTTTATAGCTCATATAGCTCCCCGTTACTGATAAACCTCGCAGCGCAAAGACAAAGCATATCGTTGGGGCTCGGGGATTTTGTTTGTGAACAGACAATTTGTGCTTCCCGCTAGCAGGGCTTGCAGAATAAACGCAAAAAATAGGCAGGTTATCGGAATCTCGTTTACACAAGCTTGCATTTGCGAGAGTACATTTTCAGACAGAGTTAAGTTGAGAAATGGATATGAGACAATATGATATGATGTACAAACTTATCCTAACTTAACTCTGACTTTAGCCAGAGGCTATAGCAGACGTAGGAGCCACATTAGCTGCCGGTTGCGCCGGACTCAGAGTCTGGCTAGTAGCACAAAAAAATCAAATATATTTTAAAATTTTCAAATAATGGCTTTTCTTGCCAATCTTCTTCAACCAACCAGCCTTGCATTAGCCCGAGCTGATGGCCAGGATGAGGGCCACAAAACTGATTGTCTTGTTGAAATCGGAAATGAATAGGCTAAAAGTGTAGCTAGCACAGATGTGTGCAGATGTTGGCATTTTTATACTAAGCCAAGCCAATCTGAATTTAACAAATAACTATTGATTAAAATTTTAAACGATTAAAACTCGTTTCATTTGCCCAGCTTGAAATTGTTTGCAGTCATAATATTTGGTCTGAGCAAATTGCAATCTAGTGCGGATCGAGAAGACAACTGTACCCGTGACCAAAGCCGACAATTAATGGGCGTGGCAGCTGGTACACTATCAACCACCAAAATAAAGAAACATGCAACAAAAAGCGACTTGTAGCAAAGACAACAAATGAATTAAATCAACGTAGGCAACGCCGAGCACAAGGCTAGCAGGAGCAGGATGTGCCCATTGTCAGGATATGCCACTAATTTCCTTAACAAGTGAAAACGCTTTACGCTTCTGGGTCTTGACTTTAGCCAAGCGCCACAACAGTTGCCAAGTGTTGCCCCGCCAACGCAGCCCTGCCCCCAACCACCTACACCCTGCCGCTGCATCCCTCTGCCAAAAAGTATCTGCTGCTGCTCTACTTTCCGGTTCTGCGGCGGCCTTTTGCTAAAATGTAAATAAAATCGCTTGAATTAACCGCTGAGTGACAGGCGCAGCCTGCCAGGCACTACAGGCAGCTCATAACAGCCCCAAACACCCAGACCCCGACCATCTAGCTGCGACTCCGACTCAGCCACAGACTCAGACAGACTGGCATACTGGGGTATATTCCTGTAAAAGACTTTGAGCGTCCAGAGAAGCGTAACTAAGACAATAAATGCAACTGGTTTTTTGTTGCTGTCATCTATTTGCATTTGAGGGGAGGGTATTCAAATGCCAACATCTTTTGAAAACCAGTTAATATCATAAGAGTACAGCATAATACATTCAAATGTAAAATATGTAAACATTTTGCTGTTATAAATGTTCGCTTTGTAATTATAATAAATTAATAATAGTGTATAAACCATATATAAACTCTGCTGGGGTAAACAACGAATCATTTGCAAGCTCATCAAAGGCAATAAAAATAAAATAAATGCAATTTATTGAGGAATATTAACACAGCAGGCTGCAGGCAGGCAATCTATAATTATAGACTATATTATAGATTTTAATGCTGTGCAAATGTTGACCCAAAGAGTTGAGTGTCTAACTAAAAGACAACGCTCGAAACAGCGCACAATGCGAGTTAATTAAGATCATAAAGCTACGCGGATTGGCACAGTAAAAACTGCAGTATAGATAGTTATGGAAGATGGATATATACACATGAGAACTAAGTTCTTTATAAGTTTATCTGTTACACTTAAGGGCCTCTTGTGCTGGTCTCACAAGCGGAGGGAGAACTTCAGGGTCAATTTATTATATGACAGTCTCTCGATATGGACACCCAAGCGACATGTGTACAAACATGCATACAATTATACTTCCCGCGAGCTTTATTGTCTTTAACCTTTTATGTATTGTATAGATTTACTTAGCTGGTATCTGAATATCGCGGGGAACTTTTCTTTGAGTCTCTCCGCAAATCGATCCACTGGGATTCACAGCATGCACCTCCAGAGCAGAGTAGACCAATCGAGCAATCGCAACAAGCTGATAACTGAGAAGAAACGCTGATAACGCGCTATGGCAACAGAGACAAACAACAACAACAATAATAATAGCAATAATACCTGCTTGTTTTTTGCGTGTTTGCTCACTAAACTGATCCGACATTGAAATGTTCATATTATCAGCCCGATCGGGTCAGTGGCATATTCACACATTTTGAATACAGTTGTAGTCGGAAATCGGAAAGCAGAAAAACCCACGTGAAATTTCATTCATAAATTGATTTGTAGTAAAAAACATTTGTATTTCACCCAATTTTTTAGCTGTCTCCGTTTCAGGGCAAGCATTTTTGGTGCTTACCCGAGAAATCCACTTCATATGACAATCCTATCTGTGGGGCCAATTGAGAGAGTGCGGAAATACCCAACATTTTGGCATTGCATCTTATATGGCAAAGCTTTGTTGCGCGGATTAGAATTTTTATACTCTGAATCCAGCTTGGGTTTTCTGACCATATTTCGAAGTTTAATAGAACTAGATACGTGAAATTTTTGAGTCTTGTTAACTGCAGCTCGGATATCTTACAGCCGAGTATCTTATAGAAAGGAAAGCCCGGCTAAAGTAACTTTTTCTTTCAATATAATCTTTTGAATAATTATTCAGAATTGATGGACTTAATAGAATTTATTACATATACTATAATATCAGTCGTTTATGTTTAAATGGATCATATAAATATTTTTACGGCATATCTTGCCACTCTCAGCATACTTGCTTTTGATTCGTGTACTTTTTCGCCGAACAAAATCCCCTCGTGCATCCATCAATTGTTGAGTTTATGCACTGCGAGGCTTATCAGCATCGGGGAGCTATATGAGCTATAAAAGAGGCACTGACTGGTCGTATCAGTCATCAGTCGCTCAGCATCTGCAGCCACAGCAATATCTGAAATTCTCCTAGTTTCCAAGGAATACTCAATACCAGAACTCAAAATGAACTTCTACAAGGTCTTCATCTTCGTTGCGCTCATCCTGGCCATCAGCTTGGGTCAATCCGAGGCTGGTTGGTTGAAGAAGATTGGCAAGAAAATTGTAAGTCTTTCAATAACATCTTTAGTATAAGCAATTACTTATAATAGATTTACCTTTACAGGAACGCATTGGCCAGCACACTCGGGATGCCACCATCCAGGGATTGGGTATTGCCCAACAGGCTGCGAATGTGGCCGCCACGGCCAGGGGCTAACTAATTGAAACATGCGGTTTTATTTATTTATTTTTAAAAATTAAATGTATTTTATGATTAGACAACAAAAACTAATATACTTAATGTAGTCTAATATATATTTGTGTTAAAGTTATTGCATAGCATTTTGAATTTGCAAACAATTACTAAAGTTTTTGTCAGGTGCAACCGACTACGCAATACCCTATTGTCCATCGAAAGAAGTCTTCTTGATAATTGGCTTCTTAAGTCCTAAATTCAAAGCAAGACTTTAAAACTGTGACTTTAATAAATATCGCATCAGTAGTCTACTTGTAAATTAATTTTTAAGACTGCAATCGGATTGTTTATCTTTTTTACTATGTGATTCTCATAGCATGGGAAACCTTTGAAACCCCCTTCTTAACTTTCTTGAATCCAATCCCAGTCTGTTGCTTCGCTTTTTCATAGAAGGCAGTGAAGTGCCTCTTAATCAAATCGACTTCTTTAGAACCCATGCTGATGTCCAGGATGAGAAAAGCCACGAGGAGCACCATGCACAATTTCATGTTAGTTCTGGTTGAGAATGTTCCTTAGAATCCGGGTTCTTGGACTTGAGTTAATGAATTTGCTGCAGATCATAATAAAAGCTTATAATTTTTCCTCTTTAAAATGCATATAAATCTGTCATTACCTGGCTGGATAGTTAATATCCCCCTTTTTCCCATATTTACTATCCAAACATCTCACGGAAACTAAACAGCGTAGATTATCTGTGGACTTTTATGTAGCCCCAAATTGTATACAAAATTCAAGACAGTTTGGTAAATTGAATGGGACGACAATTGCTAGAAAACAGTGAAGGCATTCAGTTTTTATTAACATTCAATTTGCAACTGTTTTCTCCGCGGGCAACAAGAAAAAAGGAAAAAAAATTATACACAGGTGATTAATTTAAAATCAAACATAAATCAATTTTTCAAATATTTACTATTAATGTAATATAAACATTTAGTTGCATTGATATTTTTTAATAATCCTCATTTTTAGTTCAGATTTATTATAATTATTTTGTATAAGAATATATATAATTTAAATTTTGAATTTGTCACATTCAGCTGCGCGTTAGCGCCATCTAGCGGCACGCGCACAACACGAGCAGTTGCCGCCAACTTCACGTCAAAAGCAACCCTGCTTGCCGCTGACGTTTTGCACAGTTCAATGTCACATCGTTGACTTCCTTTCCTGTCAAAATAGTCGACAAAGGTTGGTGTACATTTTCCGTAAACGCTTTGAAAAAGCTGAAAAACCGGTGCAACATGCAACGCAAAGCCAAAAATAAATGGCAAACAGAGTTAACAAAATGCTGCCAATTATTGTGGTACAAATTGCCAAGTGAAAACCATTGAAACGAAGTCGATGCTCAGTGATTACAAAAAAGGTTAAAGACGACTGAGTTGAAAGAGAATTTGGCTTGGCGGCGTTGTTGTGTATTGTTTTTCTTGCAGCTCTGCCACATTTTTTGAACGTGCTCTCAATCATTTGCAGATGGCTATCGGCTCAAAAATTATCAAGCCCGGCGGTGCGGACCCCGATGAGTTCGAGAAGTCGATTGCCCAGGCGCTCGTTGAGCTAGAGGCCAACAGCGACCTGAAGCCCTACCTGCGCGATTTGCACATAACCCGTGCACGCGAGATTGAGTTTGGCAGCAAGAAGGTAAGTCTTGGCGTTATAGTTTTGGCCTTTAGTAGTTCCCAGTTCTAATCCATGTCTTTGTGTGCGCAGGCCGTCATCATCTACGTGCCCATTCCACAGCAGAAGGTGTTCCAGAAAATCCAGATCATCTTGGTGCGCGAGCTGGAGAAGAAGTTCTCAGGCAAGCACGTTGTGGTCATTGGCGAACGCAAGATTCTGCCCAAGCCAACGCGCAAGGCGCGCAACCCGTTGAAACAGAAGCGCCCACGCTCGCGCACCCTGACGGCTGTGTACGATGCCATTCTGGAGGATCTGGTCTTTCCCGCCGAGATCGTTGGCAAGCGTGTCCGCGTCAAGCTCGACGGCTCTCAGCTGGTGAAAGTGCACTTGGACAAGAACCAGCAGACCACCATCGAACACAAAGTGAGTGCCGCCAGCTGCTGCTGCCACATAGGATTAGGATAGCATCTCATTTAAGTTGTGCGCTGTCCCCGTGTTATTTGCGGCACGTTCACAAAGCGCCGTGATTGTCAAAGGGGACGCATAGCAATTTGCCAATAACTCGTTATTGTGCGCCATTTACGCATCCTTGCGGGCCCACATCTCCATATATTGGCTATATTTTTGTTAACGCTACCGTTCTTGTGTTATTCACTGAATTTGTAATCTCGGTCAGCGATTGTCAAACAGAACGCAAAGCGAACTCCAGGCCAGTTTACTCCACATTGCAGAGCCTTTGAATGCCTCGGCTTCTACATAACTACCCACTCGCCACATTCATTCTTAAGTTAGTTAAGATCCCTCCAAAACTGTATTGCCGATAATACCCAACGTTCTTGTGTTATTCGCTGAATTTGTATTCTCGTTCAGCGATTGTCAAACAGAACGCATATTGAACCCCAGAACAGTTTACTCCACGTTGTAGAGCCTATCAATTCCAAGGCTCCTACATAACTACCCACTGTTCACATGCACGTTAAATCCAAGCCCGTTCTTGTGTTATTCCCTGAATTTATCTCTCTAATCAGAGGATGTCAAACAGAACGCAAAGTGAATAGCAAGCCCGCTTACTCCACGTTGTAGAGCCTATCGTAACCAAGGCTTCTACTTAACTATACGCCGGCCACATGCATACCAATCCCAGTTTAAAACTCCCGCCTATTTGCCTCCCGAGCGCCGTTCTGTGCCTGGTGCCTCGGGACTTCCTACATCGGCGGCAAATAAATCAGACTTGTTCAGCCCACTTTTGCTGCATCAGTTCATGCTGCAGCAAAAGGTTGAAACGTTTGACAAATATTTTCTATTTTATTATATATATTTTACTCTAGAGAATATTGCTAGTAATTTCTGTCCTTCTTTTTGTGCTGCTCAGGTTGATACCTTCACATCGGTCTACAAGAAGCTTACCGGTCGCGATGTTACCTTCGAATTCCCAGACAACTACCTGAATGTCTAGAGGTGTTCCACTGGCAATGTCGTCGTCGTCGCGCTGGTTCAGTTCAACAAGAAATTCTGTCGTACAGAAGATGCGTTTTGTTTTTAACATGAGCTGAAAGAACGCAACGTCAACTAAATAAAACAGTAAACATTTTTAAAAATTTAATTCAATTGTTTAAATTGAACGCATTTGATGAATATGTATAAGATGCTTACTTTCTAAAACATCAATTGTAATTTAATCCCGTAGAGCAACAAGTCATTATAAGGATAGCTTTTAACACGAGCCTAAATTCACGCTGTCATCTGCTTTGATGTGCGTGGACTTCTCCTGTTGATTAAGAGCAACCATAAAAGGACTTCGCTTTGCTCCCACTCTGGCTACGCTTCTCACTCCGACGCCGTGTGTGAAACATCCTTTTGTGCAGCGCCCGCCCATTTCCCTAGGCGACAAGTTCCATGTGGGGGCTGTGAGCGTGCGTTTAATTAAAAAGTGTGCTACGCATATTTATTGGATTCACTTTGTAACTTTTTCGTGAGGCAACCCCCTCCCCCCACAAGCACACACACGCACTCCTAGTTCTTGAACAAGCAATTGTGGTAGCGATGCATGAAATCCTTGCCACACATGTGCGAAAAGGGGTTAATCCTGCGGCTGGCGGGTTTACTTTTCCGCGCGACTCGGCTCATTTACATGCGCCGTTTGTAATTACAGGACATGTGGGAATCGGTAATAAATATTTAGAATAATCATCTGAGTAGTGGGTAGGAGGCGGGGCACGGCTAGAGGCTGGGTGAGACTCGGTGGTGGCTTGTTACACGAAAGAGGATTAATGATTTATACAACGGGAATCAAACAAATCAAATGAATATAGAAGGTGGCTTAATTGATGACTACACGAGTTCGCATTGGTTTTTCCGGCAAAATTGAATTAATACACATAATATTCTTCAAAATTGTACGATTCGAAAACGTTTATTTAACGTGTATTTATCGGAATTATAGGTATTTCGATTTGATTGAGTCAGTTTTGAAAGTATAATAAATAAAGTTGGAATTCGATTCATATACCTTCTAAGATTCGTATGGGTCAGCACTCGATATATATTTTTAAAAAATCAAATTCGATTTTGTTTAAATTTGTTAGGGCTTTGATTATTTTTATCCTCATTTATTCCAAAAACTTTCATAAGTCGAAAAACACGTAGTTTCATTGACTTTTTAGCCGACTTAAGAATATTTGAAATTAATAAAAAAAATTGTAATATCTCAGATAGAAAAAAGGTCAGCTCTTTATTCAAAATACCTATTTGCTCTCGCACGGATAAATTTTGGCAAATCTTAATTTGGTAAAACGTTCCAAAATCGAGTCAAATTTAAATATCAATCTATGCTACAGACTGTTAGTTCAAAAAGATGGTTAGAATAACTGCCCGCTATAGTCATGACATTTTGTATATACCAGGTATATATACACATATACACCGCATAGATTTACACATACTACCCGTTTTTCCCCGGGTCCATATTCTTTTTCAAACCTTAGACATTACGTGTTCCCTTATCTCGAATGGTTGGTAAACAAAAGTGCTATGTAACCATTTTCCAATTATATTTTTACACTCTCTGTTTAATTTTGCAAAATCCTTACACTTTAATTATATCTGATAACTACAGATATAAATTTAATCGGCCAGTGCAAAATATTTTGAATATAATTTGGTTTGAAACTGCACTATGTTGTTTCTGAGAAACGCACCTCAATTGAAATTCACCGCATTGTGTGTGTCTTAACTTATCCATGCAGCATGGGCATCAACCATTGAAAGCCGGATAACTATTTAGACAAACCGACTGTGTGTTACTCTATTTTTCTGATGAGATATGCAAAATAGTTATATTTCCACAAAGTTAATTGAAAACTCTTAGTAAAATTTAAAAAAATAAGAACTATCTAACGATACAGTTTTGATCAATTTCATCGGATTTGGAGTTAGACCAGAACAGAACGAATTTGGCAGTTGATGAAACCGACTCGTATCAAACAAATAAAAAAATGAATTCTGCTGTAGTATCTACCATTAGGTTTGATTTTAATTTCTGAAATGTCTGTCTCTGGGTTACAAAATTTCGACCACAACAAACCGCGTTTGTTGCCATTTTCATATTTGGTTTGAGTCAACAACGAAATCACGCAATACAATAATTTCAAAATGAATTACAGCCAACGCCAGGAAAATTGTTCTGCGAAAGCAAATACATTGAAAACTCGCTTGGGTGGACGCTTGCAGTTCGTTCTGCTTATTCTTATATGAAAAAAGAAGTTTGTTGAAAAAGAGAAGTTAAGAAATATTGAAACAAATAGAAAAATAAAAATTTAGGAATTTTTACACAATTTTAGGTATATTCCAATATTTTATTTCAAAAAGAGAGGCCAATTTTCAATTTCTTAACGCTTTCTAACAAATTTGAATATTCGTAAAATATTTTTCAAGTAGATTTTGATCGTTCTCCACAAAAATTAGTCGGCTGTTCGTTCGGCGAGTCTTCACTGTACTACCAGGCGTATCAAGCCCAATGCACCGAGCTCCAGGACCAGGTCTCACCCTCGCAATTACACAGGTATCCAGGTCACAACAGGCGTGGACAGGCCATGTCCAGTGCTTGTTGTTGTTGTTGCTGTTGTAGCTCTGTGTTTTGATTGATGGTCTGGCAGACAGATAGGCGGGCAATCCCAGGTAAGGTGGCTGACACATTCGATTATTGTTGTACACAATTACAGTTGCACGATTGATATCGTGTGCATGCCCGCCAAATGGCGCCATTGTGTCAAATCTATTATTTATGTGGCCCTATTGCTAGCAATGCGGTTTATCATGAGCTTTATCATCGGGTCAGTTCAGCAGCTGGCCTTTAAATGAATAAGAGGATTCAAAGGATTGGCTAAGGCTCCAGTGACGCATGCGTCGTTGTTTATTAACTTTGCATTCATTACAATTCTATACGAATAGCCACACACACACACACACACAGTCACACGCACAACCCACCCACACAGCCACCCATTCACATACTGAGCTGCTTTGTGAATTTACAGCCACTTTGTATGTTAATTTTATTAGCGAAAACTATTTATGGCTCTCATCCAGCTCCAGTTGTCCTTCAGCTGTGTCCTGTCCCCCCGCTTGGGGCTGATGAATTATCGACTATGTTGGCCAGAAATTATGTCATCACATGTTGGCAGCGCTCGACCCATGACTCATCTCTGGTTGCAAACGTTAAGTGCTGCCCGACACACACATACATGCATACATATGCAAGTATGCATACATATAGTTACAAATCTTATCAGCTTATCAATGGATTCCCGAGTGATTGTCCCCCCCAATGACTTCTATAGCGTGTTTGCTCCATCGCACAGCTGTGTCAACAATACTTACTTTGGTTAGGGGCTGCTGCTGCTACCCAAAGGGTGCGCGGAGCGCGAAGGGGGGCATGCACGCCCATGAGTACTACACCAAAGGTACGTGCCTTTTGCGGCATATACGTATTTGCTTAGTAAAATAAAACAAGAGAGCTATACCCGACTAGCGGATACCCTGAAATCCTTGCCGTGCTTTCTTCTATACATACACCCAGAAACACGCTATGCATCTTTTTGTGCCCTTTTCTTACATAACTTCGGCTTTTATAGTCTAATTTTTATGATTATTTCTGGTCTAAAGGTTGGCATACAAAACTCTGTATATGCTATACGTCTAAAACTGTATATGTATAGGTATGACCCGGAGGTCAATTCTCAGAGAATTATTCTGAAAACTAGACTAAGTTGTCGATGATTAAATATGAATCTGATTTGCGCGGGCAACAAGAAGAATATAATGAATATGATCGAGTATAAATTGAAAAGCTAGAAAAAATGATACCAATATACTCGTTCGCACTTTGTGAACAGAATATGAAAGGGAATACGAAAAACATACCATCTGGTAACCGCAGAGAGAACCTACAGAGTTTTAACACTGTTTCGTTTGCTCGATAAGAGTAAAGACACAATCAATGATCGTATGTACACACATACACACACACACGCACACATGCGCACACATCACACACACACACACACACGCACACGCACACGCACATGCACATAGTCAAGCAGCAAATAGTTGCCGCTCAGTGTTTTCTATATTTATCAGCGCGTTGTCATTGCCTCATATTTCGCCGCGTTGGCCTACGCCCCCAACCCCCGGCCAGATCAAACCGGTCCACAGCGTTGCGGCAGCTTTTTAGATAAATTCACATCATCGTTTTGTTTTTGCTGTTTGTATTCACATTATGAATTTTAGGGTTAGAAAACACGGAAATATGGGCGGAGTAATTTGTGATCATACATATACATATGCATGTATGTATGTATGTATGCATTTGTGTGTATATGCTAGTTTTTGTATACATATGTAGCTAACTGTGAATTTCGTGTGGAATATTAGGGCAGAAATATGCGCAAATATTCGGCATGTACTCACAAATATTTGCCGCGGGGAGCTTATCAGCATTTAGAGAAATTTTATTTAATGCTCGCCAGCGATAAACGCCAACGCTTTGCTTCTGTTTCATTATTTGTTGTTGTTGTTGTTGCTGTTTTGTCGCACTCTTTCGATTTTAAGCGAAAGAACGAAATTTTAAAAACCAGCACAGACGATAAACACGCGCTACGCATGTGTTTCTAGTCTCCCCGCCTACCGTTATTCATGAACTCCACCTACAGGCATGAGAAACCAAAGGCCCAGACGCAAGAGAGTACTCAATACGAAGGCGATAATCAAACGGACCAGCCAACAAACAAATATGAAGAGGAGATCGAGAGATTGAGAGAGGGCGAGGCAGGGAGAGGGAGCCATAGGCTGGTTGGCATGGGAAAGCAACAAGCGTGCTTAGAGCCAAACAACAAACTGGGTTAACGTTCCGCAGACGAAGCCAACTGCGATGCGGTTGCCGCTATTAACGAGCTTTGAACGGCGCGGCGCGATGACGAAATGCCGGTCTTAGGGTACGGCTGTTGCTCACCCCTAAAACATGAGCGCTCGTCGCCAACGCCTACTCAATCAGCGCGAGAGAGAGCTAGAGAGAGCAAAAGAGAGCGAGCGAGAGGCATTGACTTT